TTTTTAAAAATTAAGCTAATAATTTATTATTTTAAACGCAATTTATCCGCTTCTGCTTTTAAGAAAGTGAACTCAAACTGCTATAGTAAGCAGTGTGCATGATAGGTTATTTCCCTTGTTAACGCACATTGTCTTTGCGTACAAAATAAACTCCACAATGATAATAATAATAAAAATAATAATAATAATAATAATAATAATAATAATAATAATAATAATAATAATAATAAAAATAATAATAGTAATGATAATAATAATAAAAAAATAATAATGATAAATAATAATAATAATAAGGGACGGAAGTTCGATTCCTTCCAGGAACGCTCGTTCGCAACGCAGAAAGTGGTGGCTGATTTCGACCAGGAGTGGTACAGGGCGGTGTACGACCAGTGGATATATCGACACCATAGGTGTATTGAGTTAGGCGGCGACTATGTTGAGAAAACTGACATTCGACGCCACGCATTTATTAACAACTAGCGACGCCACCGGAATGACGTCGTAATTTCGGAATGGACTGCCTCACACCCGCTACCCCTTGTCTCATTACCCTGTCCACAGACACTGATCCAGTTGCCGGACAACTTTGAATTTTTTTTACTAATGCAATAAAGTTGCATTTTGTTCATGTTAATTTTGTTTGTTTTTATTTTCAGTAGTTTTTGAGTTACAGCAAAAGTCCACATAATTCTGGGACATCCCTCGTATGTGCGATTCACCAATGACATTATTTGCATGGGTCTGACTTGGCATTATACACTGTAACAGACAATTTTAGGCTTTGACCTGCAAGTGAGACATTGACTTTTGAGGTATTGGTCAAGGTATTGTGCATGACATAACGTCTAATTATTGTTAACTTTGGTGCAAGTAATCTTAAAATTGTGATTGATAGAAGAGTTATATACCGGCACAAACCTTAGAACAAACCATTTTAAGGTTTGGAACCATAGTGAACCCTTGACATTGAAGCATGGCATATTGGTGTTGTGCACGACATGTTGTCTTGTTATTGTTAACACTTGTGCCAAGTATTTTCAAAATTCCTTGATGGATAAAAAAGTTATGAAATGAAAACAAAATATACCCTAGAACAGATCATACTTAGATTTGACCTAAAAGTGTGCCTTGACCTTGTTGGTAGATGTCTGTGTGTTGCGCATGATACGTTGTTTTATTATTGTGAACATTAATGTGAGATATTATTTTTTAAATCCCTTCACGGATAAAAAAAAGTTATGGACCGGACACGACTAATGCCCTGAAATAGACAATATTGACCTTTAAGCACCAAGTGTGACCTTAAGGTAGAGGCCAGGTATTGCACATGACACATTGTCTAATTATTACAATTATTAAGGCCAAATTATACAAAGTCCTTTAATAAATGATTTTTAGACCGGACACGAAAATGTGACGAACGGATAGACGGACGTACGGACGAACGGACCGATTAAGTCTAATTCTATACCCCCTTTATTTTTCAAAAGGCGGCGGACAATAAAGCTTAACGGTTTATTTTATGTAAATAAAAACATGCATCGTAAATGCATAAAATGCAGTCCTTACTTTATGCGCATTATACATCAATTTACCTTTTGTAATTATTGATAAGGAAAGATAACTTTAAGTCGCATTTAATGTTTGCCTTCATATATTTCTCTCCCGTTGTAAAATAAATATTTCCGCTAGAGCCATAAAAGGTAGAAAATCAGGGATGGGGATGTCACGTTTTCTCTGCTTGTAAAAATTACAAAATGTCTTGAATCATTAAAGTAAATTTTATGTCCTTAGCTACCTTCTTTAAATTGTAACCTTTTTAAAAGGTCATTTACTACACTCTGTATCAGTCGTCTCAATTGACCCATTTATAATTGTACTTACGATTTATCATAGTAAAATAAAGAGGATAAATAGACATATGTGCATTTACACTCGCGCATGATTCATCATGAATAAGACAACAACTAGAAGAAATGATAATGCAATATATTTTCTACTTTCATACGTACATATATATAGATTTAGCTGTACAATCATGGTGAAATATTTCCGAATAGCAAATCGTTTTTCAACAGAAATGCTTAACAATATTATTTTTAAAAAAATTAAAAGTTTTTTTTTCAATGTCAAATGATCATCGAAGATATATTATGATCATTTTTTTATTTGAAAAACTGCTATACAGGTTCTTTAAGAATATAAATGTAAAGAGTGCAAAAATAAAAGATGTGCTACACACTTAATGGAATTTTATTTTTAAATTACAAATGACCTTGTTCACCTCTGACAGTTAGAAAATAAAATAAAAAAACTAATAAGAACAAAATACACAAAGTAACCAAAAAATGATAAACAAAGGTCGTATAAACCAAGACGGGATTAGTTTATCATGATTCGTACATTATCATATACTTCGTCAAATCAATTTAAAAAAAAAACAACAATTTCTCAAAAAGAATCAGTGAGTGATGTGATGATTGAAAATTAGTTTGTTTGTTTTGGTTTTTATTTTTTTTTATTTTTTTTTTTTTTTTGTGAATTCATTTAATTAGGACCTATGATGCATATTATGTTATGTATATGTGTGTCGTTCTGAAAGGGATATATTCCTAAACATCAAATGCATTTTTTTAGATTAAAAACATCAAAGCAATGTTCTGACAACTTTTGCTATTAAAATATGTTTCTATTAAAAAAAATTTGTATTAATGTTTTATGTGTTTCATGTTAACATATCCAATATGTAGTGTGATATTTATTGTAATTTTAACTAAAAATAGGTTTTATTTTCATTGTAATTTAAACTATAAAGGCTTTTATTTTTGAGTTTATCTTAACCTTTGGTAAAAAAATAATATTTCGTGTTTATGTCTATTAAAGATATATGTTTTAACCTCAAACTGTTATTGTTACATAAGAGTTTTAATTAATATCCTTTATACATCATCTTGCTAGACAGTGTTAATTTGCGAGTACATGTAATTAGACTTTTTTAATGGTGAAAAAATCTTTGAAGTTGTAAGCTCAAAAGGTTTTGTGCTTGTGTTACAGTGTAACAAAGTTTCTTATTCATAAGGATCTAATGTCATTTGGAATAGATCTTACAACATTTAACAAATATAACATTTTCAAATTTTGAAAAATAGATTTTGAAAAGTGTCTCTCAAGAAAAAAAGAATTCAAACATTACATTTTTTCTCTCAGAGTAATGAGAATGCAGTTTGGTACAATCTTACTTACTCTTTTATATATTTTCTCTAGTCAGATATTAACCACATGCTACAATATAGCGAGATTTTTTACGCATTGCATCAAATAACACAGAAACAATGGATACACATATCTTAAAAATATTTTTATTAAAAGGCCTAAAACATCTTCTGTCCTGCAAAGTGGAAAAAAATCAAAGTGACTATCATTTTTATTATGAATGAAATTATATGAAAACATATATATATTTTAAAGAAATAAAAGCAAATATATATTAGAAGTATGACATTCCCAAAGATTGTTATTTTGCCATCTGATTTTAAAAGCAGATCAAATTTACTGTGTACAAAGAAATATTGAATTCCTTTATACACACAGGCGCACGTACACTGAAAGAACTACTTTTTAATGGTAAAATAACAAAACAAATCGGCTGAATACTATCGTACCAATAATATAAGTACATTGTACAAAGTAAGGCATATCATAATATATATAATCAGACATCAATAAAACTACTGTGTTAAAATTAGGTAAAAAGTCCAGTTATCTTTACATCTTTATAGTTACATGTATACACATATCTTAACAGCTGCAAAACATATATTGGATGTGCGCTACGGGTTAAACAGCTTTGTACTCGTCCAACGAAAGTAAGTATTGTACCCGATAATGCACAAGAACCTGCTAATATTTGTTCGCATTTGATTTATTTGGTTATTGAATTAAAAAAAAATATTGCATCCCGGTGGTACTAGATTGATTGCTGATTAATAGCATAAAAAGTTGCTGGCAATATAATGCTAGTAAAGTCAATTCAACGTATAAACAGTATGAATACCGTTGTGTGATTAATTCATTATAAAATTTCATCAGTAAGTGTCAAAATGTGTATACAATGAGAAATTTTATGACAAAAAAGACGAATTTATTAAAAATGTATGTACATGTTTGTCATATATTAAAAAGAGGAAATTAGAAAATAAAAAACTCGCACGCCCACACACATGCACGCACGCACACACACACACATACAACAAATGTAACTAAACCATATTTAAATAAACTACATAGGCATTTATGATCATGATCATTAAGAGAATAAAAATAAACACTCGTGTTTAGCATTGAAGCTTCTCAATGTTAATTTTTTTTTTAAATAAGGGAAATCACTTGAGATGTCCCTTCATAGGGGTGTTTTATTGAGACACGCTTCTTGATGGAAAAAATATGAAACAAAGAAATGACAGTATAAGGTAAACACAGGTCCCGTGCGTTCCGGATCACGTATCCCAATATTGTTCAGTACCATCGTGTTGCACTAAAATAAATCCGGAGACAGATGTCCGTGGAACAATTGAGGAAGGTATTATCCGATGGCAGAAGAACAGATACGGAAAATTCAACTAGTCTGTTAATGTCGGAATATTAACGTCTTAAAGCAATAGTTTGATTTGTTTTCAACTAATGTATTAATTTGACCTTTGGATAGATTGAAATAGAAGTGTGGTGAAAGATTTTCTGTTATGTTCTGGAGGCATGCTGTGACGCCAACGGATAATACTTAATTTGTATTTAAAGTTCATTCTGGACACTACAAGACGTTGACGAATTCACACAAAGTATTTGGTGCAGAGTGCATTTGAATATATGTATATATAAGATATAAAGATATAATTATCTTTGTCAATGGCATCCGCCCATCGAGCTTGATCTTGAAGTCTTTGTCCTGTCTTTCTTATCCAAGACCTAAAGCAAACGTAATTAAGGCTTAAATAGTTAAGAATTTAGTCAAACAGCTTTCCAAAAAGCCCTCCTACTGCTGCTCCGAGAACCGACCCTGCAGGACCTCCGAATGACCCAATTACCGCCCCCGTCGTTGCACCAGCCGCCGTTCCAGTATTATCCTGTTTAATACAAAAGTGAGTTTATAGGGATCATATCGTATATAATTGATTTTCAAAGTATTTGTTGATCAAACAAATGGCAATCTGATGTTGACTTACACTTGAAGAAGTCAGGTGTCTTATCTCATGTATGTTACCTGCTTTCTTTTAAATTAAATCATTTTTCAATGTATTTCATCAAATATATTTAAGCTTGAAAGCAGTAAAAACTGTATAATGTATTTATTTTACCTTATATATGACAAGAAATTATGATAAGTCAGCATTCTTACTCTTTGCAAAATTTCAAAAGTATACCTTACCAAAACGTTAATTGTTTTGTATCATAGGGGACCTTTCTGTTGAAAATGTTTCAGAGTTAAATCGTATACATATACATGCACAGAAGTTGACTGGAGTGCATGTATTATTTTCCCGCAATCCAGAGCATGCCCATTAATTGGCTTATTTTTGCTGGTTTTTTTTTTTTTTGTGACGGCAGAGGAAGGGGAAACAACAAAAAATTCATATTCAGATGCTCGTTTAGTGGTTACTTTTTTCTGGGGTTTCATATTGCGACAACAGGGAACGTGTTTTTATGTTTGACTATGAGCACATCAAAACACTCGGCAATGATTTATACTCGAGAGCTATGCCCCCCCCCCCCCCCGTACAAATCAGACAGTCTGAACGTACATCGATTCATTCTCTTTCTTTTATCATGTTTTAATAGAAATATATAATACTAGGTAATATTTAATTTGTTTAGATGGAATTCTTTCATGAGTTGTCAAATGAAATTGAAATACATTTTAAACAAATTAAGGAAACTGATTTTAAACAAGTATTTATTAAGAAAGATTCGTTTAAATTTGGCGTGGTTGTGCCAAGCGTACTCTTGATAAAAAAAAGGTTATAAATAATAACAGAAAGTTCATGTAACAATATGACGTTAAGAGAATACATGAAGCTAACTCACAAATTGTTTGAAGTTCAACATGTTTATAACTAAACTGCAAGATTGGCATCGGTCTGATCATAATTGGAGCTAATTGGAGTTGTGTTATGTATTGTTCGAATATATTAAACTGTCCGTTTTGCATATATTATCCAGTGATTCAATATAATTTTTAAGACAAGAAAGGCCAAATTTTTCAACTCTTAACTGTTTTGTTGTATTGTAAGTGTGTATTCCAGAAAAGACTGAAAGTGCCTGTTAGACCGTCGAAAATACCCAATTACATCTTGTTTGCTCATTGAGCCATACTTTATCCTTGTTTAATATATTTGATGAATATTTTAAATGCACGTATTATCTATGTACTATGTCTTTCGTATTGTTCTTTTTCTTTCTTTCTTATTTCTGACTTATTAACGTCTGTTTCCTTTAAACTATTAGTTCTACTTTTATATATGTGCATTACATTATTTTTGGCGTGTTTAACTCTGCATTATACTTCGGAGCTATTCTGTCTCATCACTGATTCGAGAGGTAAGAGTAAAATGCACACTATGTCGAAACAATGCTATTAGCAATGGGTTTTTGCTAGTGGTAATGGCTGTTTTCACACATTGATAATATATCTTAAACTATCATAACTAATCACCAGAACCTGTATGTAAAATGGGCAGATAAATATAATTATTACAATGTGTTTGTTTTTAATTATGTCAGATATATTTATTATAGTTAATTAGTTAAAATATTTAAAGTGATGTTGTAGGGTGTAATCCGAGAAACCGATTGTCTAATATAATTTCACAAACACAAAATCTATTGTCTACAACGATGCATTAAAGTGTTAGTTTAATAAGGAAACAGTTTTACTAGTTAGATCATTGTTTATCTGATTCAATTTAAATGGAAAGAAGGAAAGAAAGAAAAACAAAGCTAATGCCCAGACAGAGTTAAACATAATTTTTTGGCATTTTGTATGTGTTACAGCTTTGTCGCTTATAATGACTTTCAGAATCTCTTCTTGAGACAAATAAACTGTGAACGATCATTGATGTCTTAAGTTAACATGATGTGATCTTAAATGATTACATTTTATTTATACACCCCAAACAAATATCAATCCAAATCAAATAAAAAAGTGTACGGATTAACATTGATAAGCTCAAGTAGTCTACTCAACATGTAATTTTCATACATTTCTGTTAAAAATTGAGTTTTGTCCGCTATCCTTGATATAATATACACAAAGGATTTCAAAGGGGTTAACCTTTCTGCCATAATACGATGGTGTTTCGACATTTAATGGTAAGGATTACGCAAAATGTAAAGGAAAATTTAATGACAGTAATAAATGTGATTTTATGTTAACTGCGACATTGACCTACAGCATCTTTGCTTCGTAAAACTGTGTTCTTTAACAGCTGTACAAATCAAGATCTATATATTCTGTGGTATTCGGTATTTTACACAAATAAGTATAAGGTAACTTAACAAAAATAAGTATACTTAAAATGAATCCTTATACAATGTCTATAATCTGTTGGTTACATTTGTTTAACAAAACACTGCTTTTGATTAGGACTAACAAAAATGAAGCAGTTACCTGTCTAATGTAAAAGTTATTCCTAAAATCCATCCTATAACATTATGATTTCTGTGTACCTGTGTTCTTTTCTAAATCTCAAGGAGAGCACAAGCAAAAAAATCAGAAGAGACATTCCGTTGATGACATATTATATATATGTATTTGTTTATGGGGGGTATAACTTCAACTGAATTTGCATGTTCCTTCCTAGCGCAAGCGACACAAGTATGAATATTTTAAGTACCGCATACTTTCCTATGATACAACATATTTACTAACAATGAATTCTTACCCGTTTTGAAAACTTTCGACTCTGAAAAAAAAACAGGAAAACATCACATCACATTTATTAACTGAGTCTATTATCTGTTGGTTATCTTTGACAAGCAGAAATGGCTTTTTAAAAGGATGAAAAAAGAAAAACGAGTGATTGTTATGTTTCTAAAATGGATTTTGTTCTGAAATTCGTCATTTATACAGAATGTGAAATTCTGAAATTATGCCTGTGATCTTGTTTTCTTTAATATTTCTTAAATTGTATTTACAAATTCAAGGGGCAAGACACAAAAGTATTACAATTTCAAGAAGTGCATACGTTTCTTTTTTACAAACTATTTACTAACAAAAAATTATTACCTGTCTTGGAGGATCTGGACTCTGAAAATAAAACAGAAAAACATCGCATAAATCTGTAATCTGTTGGTTACATTTGATACAATTGAGAACGATAAACAAAACATGAGACCCTTTCTCAAATTAAATCTATTTCTGCAATCCATCATATAAATCATTCCCCTCCCCGAAGTGTGAGCATAAAGTCGCCGTTTTGTCCGTCCGTCCCATTTTCATGTCCGGGACATAGCTGTTACAACAAGAGGAATCAACATGAAACTTTGTAGGTAGCTAGATCTCATAGGGTATGTGTGCACTGTGCAAGAACCGTAGCACTGCCCTGCCTAATTTTGAGATATTGCTCTTTGTTCATTTTTACACTTTGAACTTTGTCCAGAACATATCTCTGAAACTATAATAGATTAAAACATGTGGTAGGTTGACATGTTTCTAGGTTAATAGATCTCTTTAGGCTGAAGTGCAGTGTTAATTAATCATAATTCTTCTGTCTTCCCTTATTCTGGAGTTATTGCCCTTTCTTCATTATAACACTTTGATTTTTGTCCGGACATTACTCTAGAACTATAAGAGATTTTAACATGAAACTTTATATATAGATATACCTTATTGGGTAAAATTGCAGTGCAAATAAATCCATAACTATGCCTTGCCTAAGTTTGGAGATATTGCCCTTTGTTCATTTTTTCTCTCTGATTTTGTCCGAACATAGCTTTGAAACCATAAGATGTATCAATAGGAAACTTTGTAGATAAATAGATCTTAATAAATAGAAGTGCAGTGTGAATGAACCGTAACTCTGCCTGGTATTATTTTAGAGCTATTGTACTTTGTTCATTTTTACACTTCACACATTGTCCAGGGAATAACTCTGTAAGTAATATATATACATGTATATAAACACGACACTTTGTAGGTAGATATGTCTCATTGAGTAAATGTGCAGTGCAAAAGAACCATAACTCTGCATTGTCTTATTTTGGGGTTAATGCCCTTTTTCAATTTTACCCTGTTAACTTTTTCCGGGTCGGTAGACATATCTCATTAAATGAATGTGCAGTGCAAAGGACCGTTACTCTGCCTTGAACAATTTTGGAATAATTGCACTTTGAACTTTGTCCGGGATTAAACCGGCTCTTTTTATTTCAGGGTATGTTTGTATGGTCCTAAAATCAAGGAGAGAAAAGAAAATGTTAGACATTTAGGTGATGACATTTATTCATACAGAATTTTCAATTTTGTTAGTTTCTTTTGATTGCTTTCAATTGCTTTCGCAAATTCCTGGCGCAAGCCTCAAACGTATACAGACGTAACTATTTTAAGTAAGGCATGCTTTTTGTTTTACTGGCAATTAACACACTTAACATAGTTTGTATTTCATTTAATAATTAAACCATCAAGCTGCAGGTAACATGCATTTCATTTTTACTAACAACAAATTATTACCTTACTTGGAGGTGCTGGAGTCTGAAAAATAAAAATAAAAAAAACGTCATAAAATTAAATGCCTGAGCCTACAGTCTTTCGAATCTGAAAATAAAACAGGAAATTCACATATATTATTAATTGAGTAAATTGTTTGGTTACATTTGGTAAACATGGCACGCCTTATAAAAAGAGTGAACATACACGAGTAAAGTTTACTGTCTGTAATAAATTTATTTGAAATTCGTCATTTATCAAAAGAAGTTCCATGTTTCTTGGTATTGTACTAAAAGCTCAAATATATGATTTGCTTTTGTTTATTTATTTTTCACATTTGCACTTGAATTGACAATCTGAAAAGAGGTATGCGCATTCTTTTTCGCAGTGGTCACTCCATGACACTGAAGCACAGTTCTCACCCAGAAAACATTGTGACATAATCTTTGGACACCAGTATAGGTCAACTATCTGACGAATCTGAACATCAAGAGTCACGTGGGTCTATGATGTATTATTGTTGCATATTTTTATATAGCGTAAATTTTCAAACTTTGAAGCGATTTCTCTTAGTAAATTGGATATATTATTGTTAAAAAATAATTTTAATTTTCCAAAGAAATAATTATTTGAATTGAAACCCAAATTTACTAATTAATGTTTTTGCACAACCCCATACAGTTACTAACCTAAAGAAAATTGAAGACACGACCACGAATAAAAGATATCGATTTGATTCGTACTTATTTTCTTTCTTTTTACTCTCATGTTTATCGTATAGTAAATTAATAAGTTAATAAACTCTTTACAAGATAATTGATGTTATATTAAGAGCAGTGTTAAATATTGTTAATGTTTAATGGGAAGATTCACAGATCTCAAATATCCGAGGAAGTTAGGACAAGAAAGTTCATTGCTGAAACTTATTTAAGTCTTTAGAACTTATACGTTTCAGAAAATTCATTATATTATTTTCATTGGATTCAGAATGACCTATGAAATTTATGGAATGCTATTAGATTTTGTGAAAGAGCAATTGCATTTTCTCTGGCCTTTTTCTCGGTCAAAAAGCCGATCGTTCCGATTGGTATGAGGGAGTTTGATTATCAAAAATGAAATGTCGCGATATGTACAATGAATAGCGAACTGGGGAATTTCGCAATGCAAACATATTCAAATGGAATTATCTTATCCGTCAATTAATCGCACTCTCCCGGTTTTTTATTAATAATGTTGTAGTACACAGTGAGTTATTATGTATTGCAGTACCTATAAATAGAATGATGCCCTTAACATTGTGAAAGTCTAAAATCTATTTATATAACTAGTTTTAGTTTAACGAAACGGTCATTCCTGTCGCCCTATGGTAATAAATAACGAACTGGAGAATTTTGCAATAAATAAAATGCAAACATATCCAAATAATTAATTGCAGCTGAGATGTCCAAATGAGATATGCTGTGTCAGTGTGATGTAACCACCAATCAAACATAACAAACAAAGTACCCGAGGGCATGAATAACAACTTGAAAGTGGTCTTAGGTGATACGATATGCAAGATTATCTTAGCTGTTGGCATTGTAGTATTAACAGAAGACTTATTGATATTTCTTTTTTTTTTAATTCTTTAAAGGCTCACTTAAGGATAATTGCTTTGAACTGGGGTAAAAAATATCCATGTCATGGCCAATACCTATTCGGAATCATCACCCGGTTCAACCGGCTCTGGTTATTTCAGTGTGTGTTTGTATGGTCCTAAAACTCAAGGAAAAATGCAGGCATACAGGTGATGACATTTTTACTATATACAGAATTTTCAATTTTCTTTTAGTTTCTTTGTTCTTATTTGTTCTTATTGTTTTCCCGAATTCCTGGCGTGGGCCATAAACGTTTACTAACGTAACTTTTTTAAGTAGCGCCTGTTTTTCATTTAACTGGCTCCTGACAGACTTAACATAGTCGACCTGTCCATTTGGTCTGTTTGAATTGCGACATGCTAAGTGTGTATTTCGTGTAATTATTGAACTACTTAAACGGATGTGACAAACATCTCAATATTACTTACGTGACTTGGAGGCGCTGGATTCTGAAAAAAAATAAAGCAAATCCGTCATAAATTTATTTCCTGAGTCTAGAGACTTTCGGCTCTGAAAAAAATCACATATATTTATTAACTGGGTTTATAATATGTTGGTTACATTCGGTAAACATGGCAAGGCTTATAAATAGGTTGAACATACTAGTACACGTGTAGAAACTTTATTGTCTGAAATAGAATTATTTGAAATTCACCGGTTATTATACAATTTCTTTTTCTTTGTATTGTGCATAAAGCTTAAATATATGGTTTGCAATTTTTTATTTATTTTTCACATTTGCACTTAGATTGACAAACTGGTGGCATAAGCCGCAGAGGTATGCGCTTTCTTTAAACTGCGGCCTAAACTTTCCATGTCGTTTTGGAACGGTTGTTTTTAAACATACTTGAGAATAAAGACAAACCGAAGGACACACATCCATTACAGTAGCTAAGGTCTGAACACTTTATGCTCAAGTTAGCTTACATGTATCTATGTATACTAGCTTTTCATGATGTTATTACCTAAACAAAACAATCAAATATTACATAAACATCTTATTCTATACACGTGTATGGAAAATATATGACAACGACACATTCCTCACCACATAGCCGGAATCAACTTATTTGAGAGGACAATCAAGAGATACCGATATCTTTACAAATGATACTCTGGCGAGGAAACCTACTTTATTATTTATAGTTTTTATACATAAAATATCAAATATCATTTTTAGTCATATTAATACCCCAAAACTACGTCTGATTACACAAGAAAAGGTCGGATGAAAGAAAGATATATAGTTTAAAGTGAGCTGCGATCAATGGTAAATTGTAAAGATTTCATTACATGTAAATCAAGATACTGCTTTTCTTTTCACGAACAGTTTATTTTGTACTTATCGATGTCAGTACAGTTCATTCTTACTCTTAGATACTGAATGCAATTTTATGTTTAAAAACAATTACTTAAACAAGTAAATTTCATTTAAAACGGTTTTTGAAAAGAAGAGGGGCAGAACTTTATATTGGTATAATAAATATAGGAATGTGCAACACATACAGAGGGAAACACTGAAAAACAATGAAAATCCGAAAGATCGTAAGAAACCTTTCTTATGTAAACACATGTATGCTTTTCTAACTAAATTTCTTACACCAACGTCTACGCAGTCGGGAGTCAATTACTTTTTATAAATACTTAATTAATATGCAAAAATATATGACTTTTATAAAACATTATATCAATATATAAATTGAACACATAAGTGATCAAATGATATGAGCACTTATTGGACATCAGATACAATGAACCTGGTAAGTTCGGATTTTTGGTGTGCTTTTCGAAAATTTAAATATAAACTTATATGATCGTGTACGTTATTGTAATGTAAGAAAATGTAATGCGATCTAAACATATTGTAAATGTTTTTAAAAGAAAGGATGGTTCATGTAATGAACTATCATTAAATAATTTACATTTTATTTTAGAATAGCCAATGTCATTCCCAGTTTGTTATGTTAAAATGACCAATACATATTCTTCTGATTTATATTCAGTTCCTCCAGGTAAATGTTACATAAAGTCTAACTTTATTTAAACGGGTTCCGGCCAAAACAAAATCCAGGCGTTCTAGTTCTATCAGACGGACACAAGTTAGGCAAACCACGGAGTTATATTACCCCTAAAGACACTGAAATACATCAAGACAAGTGTTAAAGATCATATGTACAATTACCTGATCAGCATCTCCTGAGTACTTCCTACTATTCTTTTGATTTGCTTTTAGGATACCTTCTAAAACGTAGTCGTTTTTCAATGAGCCCCTAAAATGTATGTCAAATTCTACTGAAGACTGTTGTAAGTTGAAAGCTGCTTCAACCATAGCTGCCTGTTGTGATGTCAGCGAAGTCATTATGATACGCATATCTTTTAACTATAATATTGAAAAGAGAGTGAAATTAACTGTGTGACGGAAGAAAATAGATATATTGATTTCACAACACATCAGCATTGACACTCTAAAAGATGAAGAAACTAAGAAATAGAGAAACACTGAAAATCAATAAAACGCCCAAAATACGGTAAAATGAAATGTTGCAAGGATGGTTTAATTGCAAAAAATAAGATAAAACACAGGTGTGAATCAACCCAAAAGGGATAAAACTTTGAATGCTTCATCAATGATAACTGTTAAAGATTGAATAGGACGTCGTACATGATTGCTTTACTGGTAACTTCAAATTACATGTATTAATGATATTAATATAACGTACATTAACTCCTTAAGAGAAAAGGAAAATTTGTTTTCCATTTGAACAAATTCCCTATTACACTGTCGTTATTCCTTTGCGTTGCATGGCGTTATTTAATTTTTGAGAGTGCCAAATACTTCTTAAAAAATCTTGAAGATACTAGTAGTGATTCTACTGATTTAATAAGGCGATCAAGCGTTGCTACGTCGCTTCAATAACTTACAATGAGCTCATGTGTTTTGAAGCAGATCCACGCTAAAGCAAACAGTATGTATGTATGTATGTATGTATGTATGTATTCTATGTATTCTAGAAGTATGTATTCTATTTCGCCGAACTGCAATGCTGCTTGAAATGCACTGCACTCACCCTGAGTTGACAGGGGCTTTTTTTCAAGCATGACAATGAAAAAAGGTTAATATATATTTTTTAAATCGCTACAATTAACATTGAACAAGCAACTATATTTAAATGCAGACATAATTTAATACCGGCCATATAGAATTTGTAAACAACTACTGAATGTTAGCTTTGCACTAATTATAATTCACATGGGAAATCACGCGTAAATCGATGTTTATTTCTATATGCAGATTACTTAATTGTCACTGTGGTTATATTTGAGTGATATACATGATATAAGCAGAAGACATCTACTGAAATACGCATAAGCACTGAGCACAATTAGTGCCTTTTCTTTACTAAGTCTGTATAACATACTTGACAGACCATTCTTGCATAGCAAACTGGCGTTTCTGTGCGTTTTACCCATCCTGGAACTTTCATCTGGCATGGGGGTGACAGATGAATCGCATGCCATACAACAACTTCATTTTAGCGCATTAAATGAATGAACTGAGTTAAAATGACGTCATTACGGCGCATTATAGTAGGGAAATATGTGCTTAGAATGATGTCATTTCTCCGTTCTTCTTAAAGTTGTAAATTTATACGCTATGATGAAATGAGATGAATTTATATGAACAAATATCATATAAAGGTTAACCTTTTCAAATATAAAAAAAATATGACAGAATATGCAAGAAAAAGTATCTGACACAATCCGATATTCCGATCTGAAACGTAACGTAGGCTATTATTAAATAAATACAGAAAATATTCGAAAATCTGCCGAAAAATTTATTAAAAAACAAATTGATGTAAAGAGAATTAAGAAAGACGAGGCAGTCGACAAGGAGCGTCAAAGAGAACGTCTTTAAGTGACGTCCGGTCATTCCCTTTTATAATGTTTTTTTTTCTTTTTGTATAGGCTACTAAATGAGTGTGGATATATTACTGAATTTATTGAACGACTTGGATAAAATAAAAATAAAAACAAATGAAATAAAGAGGATATGGCAAACATATTATTTTAGTCGATTAGTTCAATAAAAAGCTATCAAGTGACTTGAATTAATATTATATTCATCATATACCAGAAATAAGAACTGCAAATAGTACAATTGTTCATGTTTCACTTTTCTCATTTAAGCACTTATACGACAACAAGAGTATCGGTCACTGGTTCGGATCCCATTATTAAAATGTCAGGTAATCCATATATTAATAATGAATTATACGACATATGGATGTCGGGAAAAGAACGTAAATTGCATGTTTGTATGATGGCTGATTTGTGCCATAAGTGTTTTTGCCCCGCGACCCCGCCAAGTGAAAAGTCAAAAATTAACAAGTTAAAATGGCGGGAGCGCGGGGCGAAAACACGCTAATTAAGCTGGGCGCGGGACGATGTTTAATAAATAAAACTTCGTCCCGCTGGGGCGCGGAGCGAGATTTTAGAAATAAAATGGCGGGGTCGCTGGACGAAAACACGCTAATTAGCGCGGGCGCGGGGCGAAGTTTTATGAATAAACTTTTTTATAAATAAAACTTTGCCGCGCGCCCTGCTAATTAGCGTGTTTTCGTTCCGCGACCCCGCCAAGCGATATGTCGTGAATTTACAAGTTAAAATTGCGGGGGGCTTAGCGAAAACAAGCTAATTAGCGAGGGCGCGGGGCGAAGTTTAATAAATAAAACTTCTTTCCGCGGGAGCGCGGAGCGAAATTTAAAAAATTAATCGTCGGGGTCGCGGGACCAAAACACGCTTATTAGCGCCGGCGCGGGGCAGAGTTTAATAAATAAACCCCGCCGTTTCATTTCTTAAATCTCGTCCCGCGCCCGCGCGGGGCGAAGTTTTATTTATTAAACTTCGCCCTGCGCCCTCGCTTATATGCTTGTTCTCGTCCCGCGACCCCGCCGTTTTAACTTTTTAATTCTCGACTTTTCACTTGGCGGGACAGCGGGACGAAAACACGAATGGCACAACTCAGCCGCCATATATTTGTTTTGTTTGCAACAATCGGATGGCATTTCATCACGGATTATTTTAAAATAAAAACAAAATATATTAATAAAAGTGCGAGAAAACAAGAACATTATTGTGGCCAGATCATTGTATTTATCTACAATTGGTCCATAAAAGATGCAGATGTTGCCCACAATTATTGACGAATATGTATCATTTTCTTTCTTGAGATTTCGAATCTGACGCACGTACCAGTTTCTTTACATCTAAAACACGCCTGTATTGGTTATAATGTAGAAAGGCAAGTAACAGACAAACGTATGTATAACTTGCAATGTTTCCAGAAACTAGATAAGTTACTGTTTGATACTTTGCCTATATCCAATTGATGTAAGTAACTGTTAGCATATGATCACCATAACTAAATATGCAAAATACTACGAGTATCCCTCATTTTCTGGAAAAAGGATATCTTGTTATAAAGATATCTGTTTTATTGATATTTTATTATTCTAGATAACAAACACAAAAAATGTACATGTATAATACAAAAATAGATAATAAGCTTTTGATTGAAAAGCGTTTGTTAATAAACATCCCTCACGCCTCCCAGCTTCTGCTCTGAGCGGTACTTAATTCTCAACACTTAAAAGTGCTGGACTCAATTATCACTAAGAACCAGAAAAATAAAAACTAAAGTGAAGTCCGGGTCAACTTTTAACTGCTACCGCACGGCACTTGACACCTGCTGTTTTGATGTTTAAATATCTGGAAACAAAGTGATCCCTATGAAGCAATGGAAAAAGCAGAATTACATGAAAAATGCATACTCGGTTTGATTGAGTCTGTACAAGAAGGATAAGTGCAACATCCTCCACACCCCTTAGCACCGGCATGAGCATTGAAACAAGTCGTGAAACAAAAATTCCTTGGCAATAACATTACGAATCCACGAGAGAAACAAAAAGTGTATATTAAGATAGTCATTTAATTACTTTCATTTACTATGATGATATAGAGGGGACATTTCTTGTTTTATCTCGTTCCACAAGAAATTAGCGACTTTGGGAGTCATTTTTACAACAATAGTTTGTTTTCAGATTTATAAACGTATCCATCTTTAACACCATTCCATTAGAATCATACGTGGATGCCAAATGTTTAAAGGTTTTCATTTTTTTATAAATCATTAATAACGTGCATTTACAGAAATAAAAAAATATATGTGAAGACATATGCGTTGTATTAAGCAAACTATGAACATTTTTAGCGACAGTTAATATAGAATATTTGTGTTATGTTTCCGTAAGATCATGAATCAAACAATGCGTGTTTTTAACAGAAATGGTTTTCATCTTCCAATTAATGTTTTTGATCATGGTTTCTTAAAACAAAAATGATAAAAATGATAATTTAATTGTAAAAAATATTTATACGCATACCTTTTTTAGTTCAGATATTGCCTTTTTGCTATATTCGTTGGCAAACATGCTTGCTTTCAGTATACATTCCATACGCTTGAAACATTCCTCCAAAGCTTCATCCGACAAGCGGTTATCAGCACTGTGCATCAACAGGTTTCTCACTTCAAGCAACTAACAAAAAATATGTTTGACATATAGTAAGTAGAAGAACAAAAACACTTACAGTTCTGCGTTTAAATGGCAATTGGACATACAAGGCTGAACGACTTATACGCCATTTTATCGCTGATTATGTTTTTTTTTCTTTACAACTACATGTACATTGGTAGCCTGAATTCAAGTAGCAAGATGCTTGTTTGAAATACGACAGAACAAGAAGTTGATTCTTCTTGTCTTTTTTATAAATTATATGAACCTGTTACTCTCAATTATTTAGCAAAAATGGACAAATACTATGTCTTGTTGTGAAAATAAAAGAAATAGAAAAGATGAAAATATATAATATTTAAATAGTCAAATTGAATATGTTTTACATTCCAACTACTATATCTTAGTTGTAACAAGTATCAGACATTTAATATATATTTGAAGACTTTTTTTATACAAGTCTTAACTCATACGGCCGTAAAAGTTAAACCAGATATATTTATAATTCTTGATTGTGTTAACAGGAGAGATTACTTTACGTTAATGTGTTTATTTATTTACAAATAAAGAAAAAATGCAAAATAGTTGCTTTAAGACACTTACTTCAATTTATGTTATCATGCTTATCTCAGAGTTGATGAATTATACGCAAAAGATAAATAAAGGTGAACAATGATAATACAGCTGTTTTGGCATATATGGTCACAAATTACCTTGACATCTGACCCTTCAAAACTAAAAGAAATAGGGATAATCTACAAATAAAAAATGCACTTATGCCGTTTCAGAGCTAGGGGCCTATGGTCTGTCGAGTTATTGGTTGGCAACAGTTTAGGTATACATGTATATTGTTAATGTGGTCTTGATCTTTGAATCTGCAACCAAGAAATCATAGGGGGTCGTGTACTGGCCGAGACCAATGTGTCTATGCAGTTTGAGGGCCAAAGGCCTATTGGTTGTCAAGTAATTGGTTAGAAACCGTTTTGAAATACTAGAGAAATGTGACACTAACCTTTAAGTCTACGACCAGAAGATAATAAATTTGACCTACTGACAAAGATCAATGCACCTATGAAGTTTGAGAGCTAAATGTGAATGTAATGTCGAGTTATTAGTCGGAAACAGATATGGCGTAGGTCAATGTGACGTAGAAAGTCAATGTGATCTTGACCTTTGACTCCTTCTGCTTCTCTAGTAATTGTGGAACCGACCGACCTACGGGCACTCGGACAAGCCAACATCTTTTTATTGCCTTCATTGCAATGCACATGGCATTGGTATCCTTACATATTTTCCACAGGAATTTTGACTTATTAAATATAAATAACCCTTTATCAGAAACAAGAGTTTTAGTTATGGTTAATTAAAGCATCAATGAACCAGAAACAGCTGCTCCAAATAATCCATTTGGCTTAACCTGATGGTGAAGGTCAATTAGTTCCAATATGTAGTTGTTAAACATGGCTACTACTCAAATGGTATTTTAGGGACATAACTTTGTTATAAGCAATGAACATGCTGCTTAATGAAATCGACATAATTATATAACTTCTAATTATTAATTCAATAATAAGATAAAATTGATTTCAGTCAGTGGCTATTTAGATAAAAACACAAAACTTTAAAAAAAATGAGTCAAATGGACGGACGGACCAATATGGCGGTCACATCAATTTCCATTGTAATCATAAAAGAAGGTACAGGAACTCATGTCATTGAATAAGTTTAACAATCACCGAATTTTAAGAATCAGGAAAAACTTGTGAGGAATCTTCGTGTAAACTATGGGCTCCTAGCCATCCACTTGACGTTTATTCTCTTATCATATTTTATTTCATAACGTAATCGTTTAAATTGACTCAATATTTCAAGAATATACGTCTACAAACATGAACACCCAGGTTTCGTAACGGATTGATATCTATTAAATTAATGTGTGAACACCAAAAAGTCCCTAGTTGTTTGAAGGCGTTGCTTAATTGACTCACCAGTTATAACACCATATACCGCAACATTTTATAGTTTAATAGATTATACAAAATGATTTTAATGACCTAAACTCATATTGCTTCGTAACAAAATTTGCAAAGCCGGCATTTTCCTTTGTACCAAACCACAACATTATTTTAACATTTATCCGTATGAAAAACAATTGAGTGGTTAATTCGGATGCCCTGCCCACAATATTCTCCCAACATTTACTTTGGAAATATTAAGCATAGTGCAGTATTGCTACGAGTTTTGGTCTTGTTCATTTTACCCACGTATCAATAAGCTGATTTATCTAAAGGTATATTCTAATATGATTGCACTTTCCGCGCCGATGATCAATGCATTAAGCATTAAGAAGATATTTTTCTTTAGAGTGAAATATGAAGTTTTATTATTTTAATTTGCGATAATGAAATGAAAAGAGAATATAAGTTGTGACTGCCAGAGAAAAACACCTGAGAGAGTAGTAGGTTAAAAATAAGTGTATACTTTGAATCCGTAAAGTTTCATGTTTATAGTGCTCATTTGACCGAAATACTACATTTCATTGATTATTTTAATGCTAACCAGTGAGATATTAGGTTTCATCATAGTGATAAAATCAATATCATTCACAGTTGATTTCCAAACCGTATGGGTGGTATAGCTCTGCCAAACTATATAAGCATACGTTTTTATTGTTTTGATTTCGTAAATGTGTGATTTTACATTAAAGTCAACTGTTGTAAAGACATATTTATCGATACAGACTATATTGTTAAGATTACTCCTCAATAATGACAACAGACTTGATTTACTTTCGTTTTCGCAGCGTTCGTGGAGACGTTAACCGTCTTACGTTATATTCTGCGCATGTGTTTTCCGTTGCGTTACAATGGGAATAGTCAAAAATTGCCGTATTTATACTTATTAGGTATTCCGGAATATGCTTAATATCACCATTGAAGTAAAGAAATATCCACTTTTTAGTAAAATAAAATATGTCTTTCTTCTCAGTGTGATATATAACACATCATACTCACTTACAACAAACAAATATCCTCTATTTATTTCATAAAACGTTTTTACAATAAAGTAATTGATAAATTAAAAAGCAAGTGAAATAGTAATACATACATCGTCGTAAATCCCATTATCTATACCAGTCTCCATATCTAGTGAGAACAATCTGCAATTCTTCATCAACTTGAAAATCAATGCAGCGTCAGTGTCTTCAGGCCCAGAATTTGGAAAATGATTTCTCTCATTTCCACGGAACATGAACATGCTTGCAATCTCCCAGTAGAACTTATCAACGTCTTCATTTTGTTCCGTGTCAACGAACAAAGGATTGTATTTTTGTTTACTCGCGAATGGGCAATTCGATTCCCCGCAAACAAAGCATTTTTCATAGACTACAGTTGTATTTGACAAGGTCACTTTCTTCTTATTTTGGTTATACCCTACACTTTTCTCGATCCTAGGGCTCCAAACAACCCTATTTGATTTGTTTACATGTTTCTCCCATAACATGTCTAGGATGGTTTGGCACAGATTTGATTCACAACAACCTGGAGATATTTTCCACATTTTTGTCCCCTTTACTGTTTTAAATGTTAAGTTTTGTGTATTGTTGAGAAATTCGGACAAATGGTCAAGCTGTTCCTGTGAAAAAGAACTCAGAAATTTTTTCAACCTTCTACTGGTGGAAACAATGAGACATTTTTTTGTGATAGTCAAACCGGAAATTGCTTTCGTCCAATTGGCTGCCTCTTCCTCTTCTTTTCTCGACATTGCCAACTTTCGATCACGCCGATTCTACAATAAAATTGCAATTATACATCATTGGATTATGATTTACATATAACTTTTTGCAATAGTTATAAGCTATATGTACATCAATGCAAACAAGCAATTATCATAGTATTGCAAGCAATCCATAAGTCCCCTACCGGTTAGAGCCCTAGCAACATTCTGAAGGGCCATTGGCCATTCAATTATGTTTCTATTTTAAGTAAATTTGTTGAAAAAGTTCTTTAAAAGTGATCACAAGAAACAGTTTTTATGTACAGACAGACAGACGGACTGAAGGACACTCTAAAGTTTTTTTTTAAACATCCCTGTTATCAAAATATAACATTTTTAAAAGCAAAATTTTTAAAAAGGAGATAACTCTTGAAATAAAGATGCAAGATGTCATTCATGATGTGAGTGTAACAAAGAACAATTAGTAATGAAGGTATGAATAATGAATGTTTATTTTGAATTTGAAGTAAATGAAAGTTAAAAGAACGAATAGGAAAAATTAAAAGTTTAAGGAGGAGATTATTCTGAAAATGGATGCTAGATTTATAAAACCAGCAGATGTCATCAATTTGCGTGTGTTCTGGAAGTAGTCAAGTAGAGTACTCTCGTCAGAAAAGCTAGACATCACGTTATCAACATATAGGTCTTTCTTAAGTATTGCACTCACCCAATTATGATCATTGGCACTCAGATGCTTGGTTAAAGTGGCATGAAGTATAAATGGTGAACATGTGGCACCAAAAAGCACGGACTTGAATCTGTATGTTGTAAGGTCACTATTTGGATCATAAATGTCGTTCAACCATAGAAATCGTGTGACGTCACGATCATTCTCGTTGAGTTGTATTTGAAGAAAAGCCTTCTCAATATCTGTGCAGACGGCATATCTGTGCTTTCTAAAGTTCACTAAAATACTTGTCAATTCGTTGATCTCAGGAGGGGTTGATTCAAGGCAATCATTAAGACTGGGTGAATTTTTGTTTTGACGACAACTACAGTCAAACACAATACGGATAGGGGTGGTGGCCGAATGTTTCTTTACTCCGTGATGTGGGATATAGTGCACGGGACGCTCACTTGATAAAACATTCACTTTCTCTATAAATCCTCTCTTTTCCTGGTCTTTAATTATGCCGTCGTACTTTTGTAGTAAAGGGGGGTCTTCACGTAGTCGTCGTATGGTGTTCTGAGTTCTTCTTAATGTGATGTTATAGTTGTCGGGTAAATTAGGGTGATCAGGTTTCCATGGCAACGAAGCAGTATACTTGCCATTTTCAAAGGTAATGCAGTTCTTCTGATAATTATGCAAGTAGTCAGAAGCCTTTTCTTCTGCTGCGGGTAAAATGCCGATGGATTCTAATTTCCAGAATCGCTCAAGATCATCATAATCTGGTGCAGATGTAATAATGTTCATAATGTAGTTCGTAGCTGTACTTGATGACGTCACCGGAAGTGGTCCGGACAGAAGAAAACCAATCTTTGACTGGACAGCTGTCGGTCCGTCGCCCCGTATAATACGGTCTCCAATGATCTCCCAATATCTATCCGCTCCAATTAGTAATGATATGTTGAATGTGTCAACTTCCGGTACTGGATGGGCTAGTTTCAAACCTCGTAAATATGACAAATGTGTAGCAGCTCGTATTTGGTTACGTAAAGGTACAGCAATGGACGGCACAATTAATACATCGATGGCAATTTTCTCCGAGTTGTCAGTTATCAGGTAAACTCTGGCGGTTTCAAAATGACCTACTTTCTTGGACTCCGCCCCGAATGCAGCCAGATGTACAACTTCAGACCCGCGTCTCTGTAATTGTAGTGTTTCGGCGAGTTCATGAGTAATAAATGAACGCTGCGCTCCTTCGTCAAATAAAATGTTTGCTTTAGCACAGGCGTGACCGGAAGTAACCTCAGCAACAGCAGTCTTCAGTAATACGTTGTTTCTACTTTGTGTTGCAGAATGTAGAATAGCCGATTGTGCACTGGAACCGGAAGTAAGATGCGTTGTTGCTTCACTACCGGAAGTAGGGACGAAACTTGGAGCCGATGTGTTCAGTGAGCTTCCGATACTCTGATCGCAAATGCTGGTATGGTGTTTCCGGTTGCATTTTCTACAACGGTGTTTTGAGCGACAGGAAGCAACAATATGTTTGCCTAAACAGTTGAAACACAGTTTCTTGCGATGAATTATGGCTTTTCTCTCCTTAGGATTTATGATGTTTTTACAATCATTAGCAAAATGTTTTTCACTGCAGAATGGACATTGGGGGCGTTGGGGTATTTGTACTTCTTGTATGTGCTGAAAACTTTTCTTCTTTTGTGTTGGTCTTGTGCTTGTAAGGAAAGATGCAGTTGCCAAATGTTCATATGTAGTCTGTGTTGGCTGGCCTGAGTCTATTATATTGATCTCCATCTTTAACGCTCTCCTAAGTTCCGGAAGTCGCCATTCACTCCCGCCATGGTCGCGTGTCATGTTCCGCTTGATCTCCGCCGGAAGTTTTTCAAGTATGACCGGTATAAGTAAATTTCCAAAGGACTCATGACCTTGACCTAGGGACTGTAGACCACGATAATTTGCCTCCATCTTTTCTTGAAACGGTCTTAGACTGGACAGTTGAGAAGTTGGTCTAGGTATATCCAGCAAACCTTGCATGTACTGACCAAAACGTTCCTTGAGTAAATGTATAGCTTCTGAATAGTTTCCATGTGTAACATTCAAACCATCAATCACACTGGCAGCATCGTCGGACAATAGAGTTTTCAGATAGCAAAATTTCTGCACCTCAGATAGTGACATGTTGTTATGTATACTTGATTCGTAACAATCCCAAAATGTTTGCCACTCCAAAATGTCTCCAGTAAAATTTGGTAGTGTAAGCTTCGGAAGTTTATGAAAATGTGATGCAGACTGAATTGAAATGTCACTTACGTTATTAGCCGATGTGCTATTATTTCGGTTTCCGGAAGTTCCATTGGCGTTACTGTGCACGGGTTGTGCGGTCTCATGGTTGTTACAATTTAGGGGCTCCTCAAGTGTGGTATTCTCAAGGGTAATCTGTGGGGAACGGGTGATCTCCACGGCAGCGCAGTGTTGAGCCTCCAAATCTCCAATGCGTAGCCGAACTTACAGCATATAGTCCTCAGTCTCGAGCTTCTCGGTCTCCATGTCTACCTCATCTACCTGCGACATTATCTCCTCGTTGATCTCTTCCAGCGCCATAAGTTTATTACGTACAGTTTCAAGAACGGTAGTAAAGTGCGTATTATCGCCCGCATATTCTTCTAATTTGCCAAGTTGACGTGTTATCACAGCCTTATGTGCACTTCTTCTCTTCTTAATTCTCAAAATATCCATAATTTCTGTTTTTGTCACGGCACCAAAATGTAAAAGTTGTCAGTGAAATGAGAAGCAACTACTTTGCGTTGTGTCTAAAATGATAATGTTTATTAACGGTAAAATAACAATGCAACGGAAATGACGTCGTATGAACTCTTCTTCCCGCCAACGTTACGTTGTCTGCCTGCCGTTCCCGCTAACGTAACGTCGTCTTTACGACACCTTGTCATAATTATTATAATGATGTGGGAGTTTGAAGAACATCCTATCATGATTGAAAAAGTTGGAGTAAAAATTACCAATTTCTCAAAAAAAAGTCTAAGTTCAAAAGGGGCATAATTCTGGAAATAGTCTTGCTAGAGTATTGATTTTTCTCAAAAATGTTGAGTGATAATAAGAAACATTTATATGAAGTTTGAAGTAGATACATTCAGAAAAAAAGAAGTTATTAAAAAAACAATATTTTTTTCATAAAAATTTTAAGTTCAAGGGAGGTAATTCTGATAAATTTTGTCCTAGAGTTGTAAACCTTGTCACATATGATGTGGTTGATGACTAGCAACTTATATTTAAAGTTTGAAGAAAAAATACCTTAAGAAATAAAGAACTTATAGTGAAAAAACTTGAAAACTAGAATCAGAAATCTTGAAATTCAGTCTATTTGTTGCCATAGCAACCATAATTTTCAACATAGGAAGATAAGAAAAGGATGTTCATAATTTCCATACTGCCATCTACCCATATGTCATGTTTCATAAAAATATTTTCAGTACTTTTTGCGTTACCACTGGATCCAGGTCATGTGTAAAATATGCCATATTTTCAGTCGATTTGTTGCCATAGCAACCAGAATTTTCAGCATAGGAAAAAAAGAAAAAGACGTGCATAATCTCTATACGGCCATCTATCCATATATTAAGTTTCATAAAAATATTTTCAGTACTTTTTGTGTTATCGCGGGATCCAGGTTATGTGTAAAATTTGCCATATTTTCAGTCTATTTGTTGCCATAGCAACCAGAATTTTCAACATAGGAAGAAAAGAAAAAGACGTGCATAATCTCCATACTGCTATCTATCCATATATCAAGTTTCATAAAAATATTTTCAGTACTTTTTGCGTTATCGCGGGATCCAGTTTTGTGGACGGACGGACTGACGGACGGACAGACGGACGTTCTAACAGGAGAGTAATTATGTGGCTACTCTATTGTTCTCTCTATTGTTCTTTTTAGCCACACAAAAGAAAATAGCCACATAAAAGCATTACGGAATGAATGACATCAAAGAGAAAGAACAGTTACCTATTGTCCCTCTAGCCACATAATTACTCTCCTGTGAGTGCGGACGGACGGACGGACGGATGGTAAACCTAAAGTCATCTCCGGTAAACCGGTAGGAGACTAACAAGCTTATAAAGAAATTTACAACATTCATGTGCCACAGATTAAACTTTTTAATTTGCTTAAACTTAACCTGCGACCTTATTGAAAAAAAGATTCATAAACCAACATAGATTGTCAAGACATAAATCGTTTAATTGTGTTACTTCAGTTGATATTATAAAAAACACAAAGAAGAATGACGTAAACGTTCGGAACAGTCGTTCTGCGCATTTTAACCTGAACCGTGTATTATCCTACAATAATGCACTCAAAATGATATTTTATTTATTTTCTAATGTTTTTATTCATATCGTATGAGTGTATGTTCATTACTGAATTTTTGAACGATTATCCAAGAAGAGAGTGTAATATTTGATTTTTCTGTTAAGATAATTAAATATTTTTTATCAAATCTTACAAATTAACCCCTAATAGGGTCTCATAAAGGGTTATCAGGGTAGACAGTTTCACGGGGAAAAAGTCATATACAGAACAGACAATTGTTTTGAAACGGTCTTTCTATCTTGGCTCCTGTATGATTAAAGTAGACTTATTTTTTATTTACTATATTATGAATATGTCTTTATAACAATATTAATTTTCAACAGTAGCTGTTCACGTTTTAGTAATAAGTCATTTTATTGAAATAAATAATTTTGTTGACAATGCTAAACATTTTATTTTTTAAAGTATGCTAGAAGTATTCTATAGATTACCGAAAGGCACGACACAAGGCACCCGATAACACAAAATGTACTGATACCGCTTTTAAAAACCTTTGTCTGAATACTTGATTGAGTTTAATAATGCGAAAACAAGTTTGCTGTTACACGGAGGCGGGAACGGTTTCGGAAACGGGCTTCGGTTGAAATCATATGGGACATAAAACACTTTATTACAAGAACTTTACTTATTATAAAATAATGTCTGAGACGGCCAGGATATAATCAAGAATGTCATCGAGATATGTCCAATGCTTAAAACCTGCCAACAAAACCTGCAAACGTATAAATATTTGTATCAGTGCATTTGTAAACTTGATGTTTTCATATCCGTTACTTTGATATTGCAGAGAATCCTAGGTTGTATAGACCGATGGCTGACATCTCTCGGACTTTGAGATCGTTATCGGAACTGACCAATTTTAAACATGTTATTAATTAATTTAATTCAGCATGAATATCTGAGCATATGCTACGACGTTAGTCCAACCGGTGCCGGGCAAAACTATTAAAAGTAATATTAGTTCTGTAGTTTTAACTATTTTAAACACAAACTGATATACATTCATTAGGTTAGATAATAAAAAAATACTTTTCTCCTGGCCACTCACATGTTCACGCAAACTCGTTTTATTAATTAATTGTAATAGGTGTTAAAACCGGAAGTCTATCTTTCTTAATTCTTTATTTGGATAATATCATGTTATTGAACGAGTTTAAAAGTTTACTAATGAACCTAAACGAGTATAATTTTCTATTTATCAATGCCTAAAAATGAAGTATTTTCAGGTAAAACAATCATTCTAACATTGCCGACTGTAGTAAGTTGTTCTGCTTTGTTTCCATAATGTAAGTGACGTCAAGTCAAAATAATGCATGGATGTGCCATACAAATTTTACGAATTCGCAAAAGCAAAAAGGGTACTTTATTTATCAAATAAGCTAAGGCGCTGGATTTAAATAGTTCGCTAATGTTAGACGTGTTAAATATACAGGCGCGACGATGAAAATATGGACTTTTTTCCCCTGTAAACTGTTCTTCCTAAACTATGCGATAGAAAGAAAATTACATTCTGGTAGGTTCAATGACTAGTTTAATCGAACAGAGGTCTCGCATAATATAGTTTTATTTAACTCGTTTGATAATTTGTATTGAACTTACACTCAATCAATATGCTTACAGACGAAATTAATTTAATGAGCGCATATAATTTTCACACTTTGTGATTTTGTTTTTCCGCTAGAAAATATATCTTATAATTAGTATATGCAAATAACACATTTTTCCTGGGACACTTACTAGCATTGATTCTAAATAACCATACACATTTTCTTTTCTTTGTGTTTCTTTTTCTTTTGTTTAGATATCAACAAATAAGTCAGACATATATATATCAAGAAATAACTTATTTTCTATTTACTTCCCCCGACTCATATCCATCTTAAACTTATATTCTTATTCAACACTACATTTATATTTCCATTACATTTACTGGTATTTAAATTATCTCATCATATTTACAGTTTCAAAGATACAATCCTTATAATCTTCAAGTAAAAACTACACCACATAAGAGGTTTTACTTAAACTAGCATTTCTCAGGAAAATATATCTGAGATTTCTTTAACCTAGACAAAAGTAAAGCTTACAATAATAAGGACAACAACCAACAATCATTCTGTCTTACTCGTAACAAACATGTGTCTTCTTCCAGACAAGTTTTCTCCTGAAACGTATGTTTCCAGATTGTTTTTTTACGTATTCAAACGTCCTTGGTGTCATATATCTGATACTTCTGGGCACATGTTAATATTTACTAATCCGTTCCCGTCTATACACAGACATATTCAGACCAACTAAGAATACCTATTTACCAAACATTTCTTAATCATTTCTTAATCGTTTGAATAGTATCAATTCACACATTTTAATGATATTCAATGGAATAAGGCAGTACGTATCTAGCTATTACGTTTTATAATAAAAGGTGTTTTTGTGACTGTCTTGAAATGAATCATTTAGATGAAATTGCATAATGATCCGAATTCTGCTCCAGTTGTCTAACAAGAAGAGAAAGGAAGCAATCTGATAAAAATCAGCTCTAAATCACGCTCCGCCTTTAGATCTGAGCCTGACCATATACGAAATTATTTCTGGTGACTATTCACACAGCCAATCATCGGCCGATGTGGTTTCAAATGCTGGGACGTAATATTCACCATTTCGAGAGCAAACATGTCGTTGACCATATAGCCGACAAGTAAACAGGCAACGCAATATTTCCCATTAAAATTGACTCTATTTGTTTCAAGTTATTTGTTAAAAATTTCTTCCAACATTATTTTTTCTAACAAAAATCAATAATTTGTTTAACTTCCACGTATAACAGTATTTTGATACTTATCCTAATGCCTATATAAAAATATTTTTGATTGAATGGCTAAAAATAGCTTTCTTGGGATATCAGGATTATAAAGAAGGCGAAACATATACCGTCGTCATCTATATGAAAGAAAGAAGTAGATCAGAAATTAAGTCAGATTGAGAAATGAAGTACCGTGGTATGAATGCGACAAAGGAAATATTTAACATATCTCAAGCGCTGGTGTTAGTTGTGTGTGCGATCGTGTAACTGAAATGATACGTGTGCATGTCGTAGCTAATACGGGCACAGTTAGAGGACTATTACTATTACATCTGTAAGTAAAACGGGTGCATGTGTAAATAAATGCATGCACGTTATACTTATAAATGCACGCGCAATAGTCTTAACATGCCACTGTTATAATTGCGTTGTCTGCGCTGGCAACATTAGGCTTACAAGCGCACCTAATACATAGACATATTAACAATGTGCGTTGTATGTAATATATTTTAGAATATTAAGCCAAGATAAAGACAAAATCAAGGCACAATGGATTAATCAATAGGACATATCGACAGATTAAAGTATAGCTGCTTCTTTTTCATTTGAAATGACAAAAATGTTGAAAAGTTGAAATATAGTTTATTCGCTGGTGTACTTACAGAGGTTTTATTATCTTCCTTTGAATATGTTGATATACACGCCGGAGATATAATTGTTTGATTGTAACAACTTACTTGTTCCGTAAGTTCCGTCTTTTCTTCACTGTGATCTTTTCCTCTTTCATGTCCCCCTTTTGTTGGATCAATCTCTTTCAAAGACCGTTGCGTGATCGCTGTCTTGTCATATTCTTCATCTTGAAACCTATCACTGTTTTCCTTATCTTCAAAACATAATTTTGAAATCTCAAAATCACCACTCTTAATCGTTTGCATCATATTGTCATGTCCATCTAGATTTACCTCTGTTCAAATTTTTAAAAGAATAAAATAATCCCACTTCAAAAGAACACTGTACTTATCGTCACAGCCAAGCTCACCTTTGTCTTATATTTTAAAGTCCTAATAGTTTAAAGTCAAAGAAGAAGAATATTGTTTTCAAGAATCCCCCCCCCCCCCCCCCCCCAAAAAAAAAAATCTTGGAAGCAATGCCATTTATTCATTGATCACTTACAATCGGTACTATTATAAACATATCGCTTTTGTCATAAGTATGTTTCTGTTTCAGTATAAATAAAAACAGTCCATTTTATTGAATAAAAACAAAGACTTTTAAAGCAAAATTAAAACTTGACTATGACGGTCAGGTCACTTTGAGATCATAGTCAAACTAGAAAAATACATTCTCTTATTAATGTTGTTTATCGAACTTCAAGTATAAATAAAACAATTAATATGGTTTTGACGGCAAAAAAATTAAATAAAAACTGTAAATAGATAATAAAATTTAAGCAAATTTAAATAGTTTTTAAAATTAGTTTGCGTGTAAGAACGAATCATATTAATTTTGTGAATATATAATAATATTATGACAATGTAAGCAAATCATGTTAAATTTTTTTTATATTCAATGTCATGGTCATTTGAAATATCAATGTCATAATTGAATTAATCCACATATTGGTTCTGTCATTTTTTTTTTGAAGAAGTAAAATAATTAGTTAAATCCATACATACGAAACAACGTTTAAGAAAATTAGCAAATTTGTCCTTTAATGTTAATGTCAAATAATGATCAAAGTCAGTTTTGTCCTTTAGACTGTTGCATTCTGTCCAAGAATTAAGACAATCAATTTATTACTTACAAAGTTTTAACAAATAATGGCAAGCACTGTAAGATAACAATGATTTAACAATTAAGATCATATATGACTCAAGGTCTAATAAAGTTTAATTATTAAAAGCGTTGTCCTAAAATTAGTTGTGTTCTAAAATGTCCAATCATTTGTTGGAACCGATAAAAATAAAAGTAAACAAGCACGATTCAAAATTTTACTATCAAGTTTATGGTCATGTATGAGTTAAGTCACGATCAAATTGATCTTCTTGGAGGACTTGTCCAAGGATGAAGACAACTCAGTCATAAACACCAAGCCAGGTGTTAGCAGGGTAAAATAAAATTTAAAATTAAACCTTCAAGGTCAATATTATTTATGAATCAACGTCAAAATCATTCTGATTTACTTTAAGTTCTTGTTCAAAAGAATGCTCTGTCAAAATAAGTAGACAATCGATAAAGAAGTAAAACATAACGCAAATGTTAACGGCAACGACGAGAACCACACAATGAATATAGTAAACCCGCGAATTTTACTTTTAAAATGTAGAGTTTAATAAACTCAAACTTACCATCTGTTTCGCGATTCACATTTGACGAGCAATTTACTTGAATTGATAAATGCGGGGCATGAAATTCTGATTGGAGTTCTGATTTCAGTAATTGTAGACAAGTATTAAGCTCATTGTTGCAGTCTCGCTCAAAGGATGCGTTGTTTTCAGACTTTACATTTTGAGCTGTTAACGATAATGTAGCCCTCCTGTCTTTATGGAGTGGTTGCACGTTATCATTTTGCTTTGCAACGTCGATGTTGAGAACCGATAAATATATTTCGACGAATGAGACTAAAAATATAACAAGAAATCTGGATCCTTTAAATCAATTTATCAAAACAAAAATAATTTGTGTTAATTTGTATATGCAATATAACTGTATCACATATTGTATTAAATAGAATAATAGCCCTTGAATTACATTAGGTTTTACTATGATTGCACAATCTCACAAAATTGCGGTTAAATGCAAATGATGGTCAAATACAAAAATCGAAGATTGATATGGTTTTCTGTATCAACGCATTTCATTTCTTCTAACAACCAAAATGGCATGGTTAAATGGTAGAATCATGGTGGTTTTACCGAAATTAACGAATCAGATATTTTCAAGTTAGTACATTTGAAACGTTGCAATATACAAATGTACTGTCAAAATAAAAAAAATACGGAACGTAATATTTTATATTGTCAAATGATAACAAAGTTTCTTACTTGATTTGTCCAAAACATTCCAAAACTCGCCTTTATAAATAATAGTTTCAATGTATGACTTTTCTCCATTGACACATTCGGCTAATGCTTCATTTAAATCTGTTAGATGGTTGTGGATTTTTCCATTAGTATGTTCCCTAAACAAGTTGGCAAGCGATTTAAAATTACTACATTTTATATGCAGTTTTATGCATTTACGTTTAGCGCTTTTGATTCTCCATCCTTTAGAAACAAATAAGTGAAATGTTTCATTGACTGCCGTTCTTAGTCTAGCATATAAATTGGGTGGTATGCTGGATTTGAGATCATTGTTATGATTTATGACCTCTTCAAACAACTTTTGTAAAACATCAGACATCTTTTTTTCTTCTTCATCACTGACATTTTTTAAATAAAGAAAAATGTCAACTCCTGTAGTAAGAAATATAGTATTAAATCGTTAATGGAACAAATACCCAATAAGTTTGAGTATAAATGTAAAGATATTGAAGAAACACATGTAACACAAAATGTGTTATTTGTGTTGCCCATTCAAGCAATATCGTTCCAGTATAGTGTTTGTCAAAAGAAAGTGTTTTACTTTGATAGATTGACTGTTAAATACATTTTTCATTTCCGAAAGTCGGTGTAAATGCATTAAGAAAACGACAAAAAATGTAAGTAACGAAGTTCTAATGGAAAAAAGGTTAATTTATAAACATTTTTCTCAACAGAAAAAATAGAGGCATTATTTTTTTTCTACGGCGGATGCGCATAAATGTGAAACTTGTTTTTTTTATATGTAATCACAGAAAATAAGACTAATGAAATACAATGGGCATTTACCAGGAACAAGAACATTGTTCGTATCTGAATCGATTCCTGAACTCGCCCTTTGGTCGATTATGATTTCCAATTTGTCGTTTAAGTTTCTCAAACTCTTCTAAAACTCTTTCGTCAACTGTAAAAAAAGTTTAAGATAGGTTGACACAAATGTAAGAATGTTTTATCGGATACTTATAGTATTTGTATATCATTTTTCTATCACTGTATGCTCATATTTTTAAAACAAATAATCTTTATTTATAAACAAAAACAACACTATAAAATTGGTAAATAATGTTTGGAAACAATTGCACAATATGTTATATTTAATGTATAAATGTTACGTACCATGGTCAAGTTTCTCGCGCGTTTCTAAAACGTTTTCGTCAACTGTAAAAAAAGGTTCAAGATATGTTGACACAAATGTAGGAATGTTTTATAGGATACTTATTGTATTTGTATTTCATTTTTCTATCACTGTATGCTCATATTTTTAAAACAAATAATCTTTACTTATAAACAAAAATAACACTATTAAACTGGTGAAAAAGGTTTGGAATCAATTGTACAATATGTATATTTAATGTAAAAACGTTACGTACCATGGTCAAGTTTCTTGCGCGTTTCTAAAACGTTTTCGTCAACTGTAAAAAAAAAATTCAAGATATTTTGACACAAATGTAAGGATGTTTTATCGGATACTTATTGTATTTGTACTTCATTTTTCCATCACTGTATGCTCATATTTTTAAAGCAAAACATCTGTATTTTAAAACAAAAACAACACTGTTGAACTGGTAAATAAGGTTTGGAAACAATTGTACAATATGTAATATTTGATGTATAAACGTTACGTACCATGGTCTAACTTTTCATGGATGTCCATTTCCATCAAATAAAACTTACGCATTTCGTCAAGCGTGTCGTTAAGCGAAAGAGATCCACTTTCTAATTCCTTGATGATTATATCTATCTCTAGCTTCAAATCGTTGTCATCGAGTTTCTCCAAAATTCTACCAATGATCGTTTGGACCATTTTAAATTTGCTTTCAAACTCCAGATTTGTGATTTCCGCGTCGTTCATGTGACAGAGATCATTCCGTATTTTTCGCAAATTTTTTATATCCAACTGATCTAATTCATCCAAATCACAATATGAAAAAAGGACTTGGCAGTAAAGTAATAAATCCCAGTTAGAAAGCACTGTATCACCGGTGTTTGGAAAGAGGACTTTATACTTCTTCTTCGAAATGTTTGACTTAATTATAATTTGCTTTTTACTGTTCAAAAATGATGCAAGTGTCCATTCGTTTGGTTGAGAGTCCCTTGGTTTAAGATCTTTCACATGCTTTAATAGAAGATATTGACATGCTTTTGTCCCACCTTTACTAAGCATGAGGCACAGTCTGCAATGTTTTTCAGTGCCGGTCGTTGACATATTGACAAAGTCTGAATTCTAAACAAAACGAAAATAAGGGTTCAGTTATGTTAAGTAAGCCATTTTTGAACAAAAACTGTATGTTGAATTATCATTTAAAACAAAACAAAATAACTTAACGTTTTAAAAAATGTAAAACAGATGAAAGAACAAACAAGTGTTCCAGTTAACTTATGATAATATGTTTGACTCATTTTAAATACTTCCTAACACATGTTTTCTTTTTTATTTCTATAAAATCTGTTTTAAACGTTTACTTGTAAACTATACTAAATTGTATTCATGCATAAAGATTGATAACGCAGTTAACAGTTATGCAAGAAAATCGTTTAAAATGCGTCTGGTACATGTTAATGCATTTAAAATGTGCCTTAACCCGCTTTTGTAAAACAACTCCAACACTAGAGGTGTATCACAAATAAGGAAACACCTTTTATAGATAACATACCTAGAACATGATTACCCTGAAACAAGTGACTTCTAAGCTGTCTGCATGATTCTATTTATTCGTTAATTAATTTTATCTAAATTTCGGGTTTAAGTGGCATAACATTGTCATAATCATGATATTTGTTTTCCGTTACAATAAAATCTATGGCATAGTGAAAATATTACAAACCATTTATTAAAATATAAATAAATAAACGAACATTCACGCGTTTTTAATTCATTTCAAAATTACATTGTATAATTATCGCCGAATTCCACACAGTACTAATGTTCAGTTGAATTGCTGATTTGTGATCGCAATTTTGATACATGTATTTGTCATCGTGTGCAGTTTGAAAGTTTCATACAATTACGAGACAATGTTTTCAACCGCTTTTAACTCAGTATATTTAACAATGGACTATTGGCTTCAACGCGCTTAAATAGGGACAGCCTTGTTATTTGTGGGAAAACAGTGAAAGCTGGCGTTTATAACAAGGCATTGTAAGACGATGTTGGTCACTAGATCATACTTCATCAGAATTGTTTTTTTTTTTTATTTAATTATACTATCAACATGGTACTTATTTCATAGCTGTACATGAAAAGTACAAAAGTAGGTCACTCGATCAGTATCTAGGTCATATGACATCAAACTACTGTTCTACGTCTGAATTTGTGCACATGGTCAAAATGTGATAGCAGTACATAAAAAAGCCAAAGAAGGTCACTTCAGCAGCTAAATCTTGGTAGGCTGATACAAAAGTTCATTTTACATCTAAAAGTGCGCACATGGCTTGAATCACATGGTTGCACATCAATGACAATAAAGAAGGTCACTTTGTCTTAATCTAAGTCAGCTGATATTAAAGTCCAAATAATATCTTTATCTATTCCCATAGTCAAAATTGTATAGCTTTATAAAAGGTCAAGAAAGAAGGTGACATCATCGAAATCTAGGTCAGCTTAAAACAAGACTGAAACCGTGCATATAGTCTAAATTTTATAGATATACATTAAAGGTCTAGGTCGCAGGCCATATCATCAAAATCTAGGTCAGCTAATATCAAAGTTCAATTTTTCATCTTAAATTGTACAAATTTCATTGCTGTACATCATAAGACAAAAAAGAAGGTTACTGTGTCCCCTTGGGCAGGTCAAACTTTTGACCCGAAGGTTATCATTACAATTCTACATCACGTTGCTTCATGTCGAGTATCTAAGGTTCTCCTCTTCAGAAAATAATATTTATTTTTGTTTCTATTTTTACTATATGTACATAAACAAATCAATGACCCCCGAGGTAGGATCAATTTTGACCCAAGGACTATAATATGAAAATCTTTGTAGAGGTCCACTACACAATGTGTATGCCCACTGTCTAATATCTAGCATTTGTCAGTTTAAAGAAGATTTTGTAAAGTTTTTATTGCATACAAAATTATAAGGAAAACCTTATAAACGCCCGAGTGAGGCCAATTTTGAAAATAGGGGCAAAGTCTGAACAACTTCGATGGCTGACCTTAAATTGATAGTATATTTTAATTATCAAAGCTTTAAGCCTTGTACCTCCAGACAAGATTTTTTTAGGATTTTAGTATGCATGTATGTACGAGTACATAATGAAAATAAATGAATCCAGGGCGGGGCGCCAATTTAGGCCCCAGGGCTATAATTTAAACAATCATGGAAGAGGCTAACTTTACAATAGTTCATGCAAAACAAATAACTCCTAGCCTTTGTCAATTCTGAAAACATTTAAGGGGCGTCCATATATATTCGTAGACTGTGCTTATAATTTTTTGTTAGGCAAACATAATTCATAAAATTACTTGACCGGAAACGGCAATTTAATGTACACTTTTACATGAAATTCCAACCGCGTATAACCAACTGTCATTTGACGGCGCATATGGCAATATCACCCGACTGTCAGCGCCCCAGGTTACGATGGTGACGTCAGCGACGTCACTGATTTTTATATTTCTGACGTGACTGCATCGCTCATAACTTCTCAAAGAAGCGTCCGTTACATTTAAAGCATCTCTGATACCGATATATCCACTGATTTGATATGTTTTCGTACCACGAAAGTCAGTCTGTTGTTGATATGGAAAATCAACGGTTGCCATTTTAAGTCAATGGTTACTATGACAAATCACTGCATGTTAAAAACGCCATAGGGTGCTAAAGAAGTCCATGGTTGTATTGGAATGTCAATGGTTGCAATGACAGTTACTAATTGTTATTTGAAGTCACTAGTTGCTATAAAGTTGTTTGTTACTGTTAAAGTCACCGGTTCCTATTGCAAATCAATAAATGATATAGAAAGTTATTAGTTATAATGACAAATCACTGGATTGTAAGGGAAGTCATTGGGTGCTAAAGAAGTATATGGTTGCAATCAATTGAAAAATCAATAGTTTATATATTAGTCACTTGTTGTTTTGAGAAGTCACTGGTTGCTATGGAAGTTTATGGTTGCTTTGGAAAGACACTGGTTGTTATTGTAGTCAATGGTTGGTATGAAGTCAATAGTTGCTGTAGAGAACCACAGGTTGCTATGTAAAGTCAATGGTAGCCTTGGAAGGCACTGGTTGCTATGGAAAGTCATTTGTTGCTTTGTTGAAAAGTAAATGATTGCTATGGAAAATCAATGGTTCATATGACAAGCATTGGGCGCTTAAGATGTCTATGGTTGATATGGTAGTCATTGGTTTCTGTGTGAGCCACTTGTTGCTTCAAAAGTCACTGGTTGCTATGGAAGACTATGACTATGGTTGCAACGGAAAGCCAGAGGTGACTATGAAAGTCAATGGTTGCTATTTAAATCACTTGTTGCAAAAATGGTCTACATGAAGTCAAGTATATTAATGAAGTAACGCGATGAAGTTCTGGCGAAGCTTATGTCTATGACATATTATTTATGAACAGAGTTATTGCATATGTCAAGTTAATTTCATTCGATATCAAATCATGAATATACATGTATAACGAAATGAAGCTGTCAATAAACTGGAAGCAGTCTGAAAATTCCTACATTTCAATTTCACAATATAAATCTATCACAAAAATGTTCAATCATTACAAACTGTATTCAGCATCTGTATAATTATAACATTAATATATAATATTAAGTTTTACTTGAGATGAATTTTAAGGTTAATTTTTTTATCAGCACCAATAAAATAAAGGTTGCAGTATCTGAGTATTATTGAGAAGTTGTCCGCTACAAAGGTCATGGGTGCGTGCGAAAATAT